AAGAAACATGAGTAATTTTCTCCGAACACGTAACTTACACTATATTTATAAAATACTGATAAAAGTTGTCTTAATAAACTATTGTAGACAATGTTCAGGTTCTATGGTGTGCAAGTTATCGTAAAAATTGAGCAGAAAACAAACAGAACGATTTTTTAGATTGTTCTAATAAACAGAATTGTCTTAAACTTTGAAAAATAATGGGATATTACCTGTTATTTTGGAAAATAACAAAAAATAAAGTGTCCCGTGCAAAATTTGAGGGTTTTGCATTGCCCTCTTGAAGTTCAAAACGCGTATGGTTCTTCAATAAAATCGTGAAGATTATTCAGCGGTTTTTGAGCGCGCGCACATCTTTGTTGTTGCTCTTGATTAAAATATATATAATATATTCAAAAAAATATAATATACGTATATGTATAATATATATGTATATGTATAATATATATAAAGATGAAAAGAATATGAGGCTTGGTCAACCATTTCAGACATTAGAAGTGTCCGTATATAAACGCTACGAGAACGATAAAGCGGAGATCAGAATGAGCATGTTTTTTGTAGAAACGTTTGAAATCTAGTAACTTAGCCGACTCTAGTAGAGGGGCGCCTAAAACGATGCTGTTCTAAGAAAAGCGAGGAATAAGGGACAAGAGAGAGTGGTTTTGACCTTTTTTTCAAACTTCAGTCCCAAAAATCCTATACACGACAAGGAACATCTACTCTGAGGTGTGGTCGTAAGTTAATGGAATATGATTGGCTATCTTTATAACGAACTCGGATCTTTTTATAGAATTGGTCTGTGATTGGATAAAAACGCTAGGTAGCCCTGGTTCGAATACATTGCACTTTCACTGAACCTTTTTCATATTGTTTCTATTTAGTGTGCAACCATGCGTACCAATAAGTATAAAATAGGCAGGACACAGACACAGGGCATAGTCGGTGAAGCCAACGGTCTCAGGAGAATTTGTGTACCATATCAGGGAGTTAGCGTCTTTGACTTATTTTAGATGAATGGACGTACAGGGAACGTCCTGATAAAACTTTGTTTGGCGTTTCCCCACAATCCCTCCCTTACAGTTTGACAAATAGACTGTTTTCCCAAGGTTGCGTGCGCATCCAAATTTAAGGAACTTGACGGGCCACGATACCAGAACACGAGTATTATCATGCATTGCTATGAATTTTTTTTCGATAAGAATTCATAAAATCGATCATTCTCCTCTTTAAATATAAAACTGGCTTCTCAATTTTAATGAATTTGCGTTTTTCAATTTTGTGGCCCGTCAAGTTGGAAGCGCACGCAACCTTGAGACAACGGTCTGTTAGGTAGCCTTGTGCTGCCTCTACTGCGAGCTCGCATTTTCCCCATAACTCACTATTCATTTTATTGTGGAGCATTGTTACACATTAGAATTGTTTTCTGTCGAGGCTGGCACTCCTTCTACTGTGACTCGATGATGTAAAGACCAACTACTGAATACTGGGAGTCAATTCATTTACACGGTTTAGTTTTCATTGACATTTAATCAGTTTGACACTTTGAAATATCAAGCTTAACACTTAATGTTTTAGCAGTTTTACTTTTCACAATTCAATTTAACAGATTCCTTTAATTCCCTTTAGAATACATCAGTGCCATAGTTTATAGCTTCCCTTTGAAATGAAATTAGTAAGTTCTTTGTGCTCTAACAGACCCTGTAATTGCCGAACATACACCTCTTGTTCCCTGCTTCGTTCGGTAGCTCCATTCCTCTTTTCCTTGCCATTTCAATGCATAGTTTGTAGTCACCGTCGGGACATAATTTCTTCAGGAATTCTGGGACGGAGTCGTCTTGATTTATAAGTTCCCGGACGTTACTGGGGATGCGCTCGGCCTCGTTCTGATGGAGGACTAGAAACACGAGGAAGACTATGGCGAATTGAAGCTTCATTTTGATTTGTAGAGGACTAAAACAGGAAAAAATCACGCTGAGAACTTGACGGACCGCTTGTGATTCAGCGCTTTAAGTTTCCGCGTAGTTTGAGGAGTGATATCCGATTGACTTGAAAAAATATAATCAAGAGAGATACAAGACAAAGGAAGAAAGAACGAGAGATAGAGAAAATTACAAAACTAAAGATAAGACTATAGAAAATTAAAAGAATGAAAATCACACAAACATAAAAAACTACAAGAAAAATAGAAAAAAGCAATGGAACGGTACATTGTTCGAATGTTGTACATAACAAATAGCTTAGCTTGAAAGCTGGAGTTATTACGATAACACTCGCTTTTTAGATATTTTTCGAGAAAAAAGTAACATGCACTAACTATGAGCTAAAGCTCAGAATAAACTAATAAAACCCACTGCATAAAACTGAACCATGGCTTGATAAGATAATCATAGTTAGAAAACTAAAGAATTAAGTTACCTTGAGTGGAGAGAATCTGTGGCAAGTCGTGTACCGGTCAGACGATGCTAGAAGAATGTGATAGAATCGGTCGAACTGCAACCTTATATAACACCTTAAACAATCTCTATTAAACATAAATTTGACATCCACTAAAACAATAATAAACACCATTTGCAAATATTGAAATGATTATAATCATAGGAAAATGAGATCATGAATGGCGGTAATGAAAATAATAACTCACTCTCGAAAGGGAATCACAGAGAGATGAATGAAGAGGAAGTTAACAATTCAGTCTTCTCATCACAGAAAAAAAATTAAGCACTATTAGTGCACGGGTCTTTATTTCATTGAGTTTTTTCATTCTCTTCCGTTGTTTCATATCGTACGTTGGCCGAAAGAAAATTTAGATTTAATTATCGACTTTATCATTATCACGAAACTTTGCGAAAGAAAACGTTTTAATGAGCAAATTTTCGGGCTATATTATCATCAAGCTACTGAGATGGAACGAAAGAAAACTTATGCTAGGAAACTATAGAGAAACATCAAAATTGTTATGTGAACTGAACGGCTTGTCCCGATTTTTTTGCGATTTTGTCCATGATAAATAATGGTAAAGAATTTACTTGTAAAGTTTTTTTCAGGATACCAAGATTTTCCTAGACGAATGTCTCTTTGGAAGGATGAGACAAAAGATTGAATATTTCCGAAAATTGCCACTGAAACATAGTTTCTAGCATTAGTTTTCTTTCGTTATATAATGTCAATACCACTCTGAAACGTACTCGCTCGTTAAAACATTTTCTGATGCTTTTCGAAGTGTTTTCTTATTAAGATACCATCATTATTATTTTTATTACGGTAGCGGGAAATAAAACCAAGATTTACAGATATATCAAATGTAAAAATATTGATAGTTTGAACAGTATACTCTTGTCAGTGGTATCTCTGTTACTCATACAATGAGAATGGGAGGTATGGCGGTCGAGCTTAGCAGCTAAACAGTGAAAACTGCGCTTGAAATAAAAGGGAGGAGTGGGAGGGGAACGAGAAACGCTGCCAAGCACGATCGCAGAGCATAAGTAGCACTTTTTGGTAGTTATCTCGAAGAGTGATGTCAAGGCGCGCTGACAATAGAAGGAAATATTTCAAGCGAGAATTAAATAAAAAGCGCAATGTTTGCGGGAAACGGCTACGATGGATTTGGCGCGAAAATAATGAAGCACGTGCGCTCCTTAATGACTCAATTCCCATTCCATTTCTTCCTATCCACTTAGAAATCACTAAAATAGGGTTATTTCGAAAGAGAATACTTTACTAGCTTTTTAGCTGTTCTTTTTATGTGATAAGTACGAATAGTTTATAGTAAAACTCTTTACACGTTTTACTCTACAACAGATGACATGTTTTTGGGTTCTTTAGTGAAATAACGATAATTAACTTAGTATATTAATACTGTATTTAGCTTATCAAAAGGCACAAAGATAAATTCATATCTAAAAAACAGCAATTTAAAAGAGCATTTCTAGAACTCGAAATATTCCCGCGAGATAAAATGCAAGTATCTTTTGTTGGAGTTCGACTTTTTAAAATACGCGAATTTTTATTTAAATTATAAGCTTTCCTATAATAATATTGAATAAGCACTTAAGAACTAACAGTTATTAAGATTCTCCAAACAAACACTTTATATTCCTCACCGTCCGGACCTAATCTATGCCATTATAAGAAAATCCAATAGTCTATGATGTTAAAATATCAAGAGTAAAGCTAATTTGAAACACTTGAGAACTTAATAGATATTTCCAAGCTGTTTAACAAAGTCCGCAGTCGAGGAGAGAAATTTAGTTGAAATTGAAATTGAAATTTAGTTGAACTCGAAGCCGCTTTAAGACCGTAACTTCACTTGTGTAACAACAGCCTTGTAAACAGGCATTTTTTCGTGGTCTACACATAGCTATAATCAGTGATTCGACTGCCTATAAAATGACATAAACGATATAAATATTTATTTTGTGATGATGCGAAATAGATTTTTGCTTGCATGCTGAACCAACAAGGCGGCTTTCTTAATAAAGCTAGTTTTCTCACATAGCAGCCTCTTTCTTTAAAAGCAGACAAACGAGAAAAGGCGGGCGAGCTAAATGAATATTGGTAATTTCAAAATTTAAAAACACTTTTCTCTTACAGCAAAAGCGTTTTCGCCTTACAACAGCGTCTCGTTCTCCAAAAGCAAACGTGTTAGTAAAGGCGCTAAAGTAATCTCGATATTGTTTGTAAAAAGATTCATTCTGAGATAATCGACATTTATAAATGCTTTATGAGGTCACTTTTATTTTCAGTAGTGATTTTTATGGAAATTTAAAAATGCGAAAAATCACTAGAGAAGCAAAAAGCGAAGCGAATGTGTGGGGAAAAAACATCTGCTTGATTGAGTGAAGTGTATGGATGGATGGATGGATGGATGGATGGATGGATGGATGGAAAGAAAGGCAAGGAGAAGGGTAAGCAAAAATAAACCTGAATCGTAGAAATAAAAAGAAAGAAAGAAAGAATAAATGAACTAAACCGCAGTGTCGCTAAATTATGTCATCAATACAATTTTAATTGTAATCTTAAAAGATTTCAAAAGCCCGTACTGAGTTTGATAGACCGTCATTTCCGAGCTTCTAGCTACTCGATAGCTGTGTGAAAACACAAGAGTATGCCGCTCGGCGGCAGTGCTTCCATAGATAAAGGAATTCATTTGGTTTTGGTTTTTAAAAATCGTCAGATTGCAATGCACAACAGCGCTTATTTCATTAGATTTCTGCAACACAAAAGTATCAAGTTGACAAATTTAAGCAGAGCTATTCAGTTATGATGATGGGTAAAGACCCATTGCACTAAATCCCTATCTGGGGGTCAAAGCAATTGGACATATTAAATGTAAATGTTTTTCAATAACGAGCAATAATGGCAAAAAGCGCCAAAAACTAGACTTTCGTATGAGTTTTGATCCCAATTTTCGTTTTGGGTTAACACTCAAAACCTTTTTT